TAACGCCCCATCTCAAGTAGTTATGCTAGCCCGGTTGTGTTTTTTAAGAAAAATAATCATATCCGGAACACATCCGAAAAGGTGCGTTTGCAATTGACTATCGTAAATTAACTCCATGACTAAATTTCTCATAATAGGTAACGGTATATCCGTTACCTATTATTGAAGAAATTCTAAGGAACATAACTCACCAAATATATGATACGTTAGACTTAACGACTGTTATTTTCAAAAGGGTTAAACCGGAATGTGCCTAAGACTGCCTTTTATAAAAAGTCTGGCACTTATGCATTTTGCGTATGCCGTTTGCCTTTCGGGGCCCGTCAACATTCGATGTATGGACTTGTGTAAGCCTGTTCTGGGAAAGACCACATTTATCTATTTGACTATCATTATTATAGTGATAATCTGGATCAACATGTACAGGATCTAAGACAGGTGTTTTCATATTAAATGAGGCCGGTCTAAAGTATGTCGAAAATTGCAAATTTGCGCCCTGAATTAAAATACTTACGTTACAAAATATCTCAAAAGGAATCGAGACAGATGAATCAAAATAATCGCTGTGCAAAAGTATCCGCCCGCCAAATCGGCGAAGAAGCTCTCTTCTTTCTAGGACTTTGTCATATTAGGTCCTTTATAAAAGATTTTGCAGCTATTGCTGAACCATTGTTAAATTAAAAAGGAAAAAGGCAAGATTCTCGTGACGCCGAAGCCAATAGTGCTTTCGAAAATTAAAGCAAGCATTAACGCAAGCCCCTGTTTTGAAATTTCCTGAAAATGATGAAATTTAGAATTTCAGCGGATGCTTCGGATTATGCGTAGAGCGTACTTTCGCAAAATCAGCAGCCCGTGGCATGTTTTTGCGAACTTTAAATCAACACAAAACAGAATTATTCCGTGAGAGAGAGAGGCCTTGCATTCTGTTACGTGCAAAAGTTCCATCTCTTTTGGAAGGGCGCCATAACAGTGTATTCTGATCATGCGGCGGTCACTAGTTGTACTCAGGGAAAAACGTTCCCCAGTTAATAAGATGGGCACTCAAGTTACAAAGAAAAATCTGGTAATCAAGCACCCCCGGAAAGGAAAATATCGTAGGAAGGTAATACTGAAAGGGGCAATGCTCCAGCATTTACGATACATTCCCGAGAAACTGTATAACCGAACTGGTAAGGATCCTGAATTAAAAACATTTATGAGTATTTAAAGGATTCTGAAAATTTAGCCACCAAGATTTGTGGCGATAAGAAAGGGCGGCCCATTACGACTAATAGATTGTCTATTATTTTATCAAAAACTACGAATTCCAACAACGAATTTTCGACCTGTTATCCCAGCTAGTCTAGATTAAATAGACTGCAGGAGTTACGACTCCCCTTAACTCTTCATGCTGGTATTCGAAAAACCATCCAACGCGTACGCGAAGCAGTTTATTTTCCTGAGCTGCAAAAGTTACAAGTGGTATGTCCAGCTCTGCCCAACATGTCAAGCAGTTTATATATTAACCGCCCGGACGGGTTTCTAAATAGTATTAAATCGGAATTTCCAAATGAAAAATTGGCATCGATTTATTGGCCCTTTCCCAAAAGTCGGTTAAATAAAAGTCGTATCTCCTTGTCATGGTTATCATTTTAGTAAGTGGACCGAAATTTGTTCCCTTAAAACGAGCCTCCGCGAAATTAGTTACTGATTCTATTTTTAAATAAATATATTTTAAAATACGGGGGCGCCCCTAAAATTTATATCGGATATGGTCCTCAATTTGTAATAATATATTTGAAGACAGTACCAAAAACTGGGCATTGTTATTTAAAAATGGTCCGTATCGGCCGCAAAAATAGCGGAACGGTCAATAGAAATATAGTGAAAATTATCCGTAGTTATGTTAAAAATTTCATAAAGCTGGATAACTATGTCAATGAATAGCTTTCGCCCTTAGGACCGCAAAACATGATACGACAATGCGAAACTCCTGCTGGTTATTTTTAGGCAAAAGATTATACGCCGTTAGATAAATTATTTATGTTCAACAAGAGCCCCAGAATTTAAAATGGGCGATATAGAAAAATTAATAAAGAAGCAAAAAGAAACTGAAGTAGCACAGAGAAAACAGAAGCTTTATTATGATATGAAATGACGGGAGTCCTTATAAAATAGGGGATGAAGTTTAAAAATTAAGCATTCTTTCTTCAGCACCAAAGATAAACTGCCAAATTTTATACACGCTTTGAAGGACCATATGTCATAGAAAAAATAACTAAGGCTGTAGTGGTGTTAAAAGCCAGGAATGGTGAAAAATCACCGCAAACGTTGACCAGATAAAACCATTTTAATCGTAATAAAATACCAATATTTCGAGATCTTTTGCAGGATCCGGCACGGCAGGCTCAAGCTCCAAAGGTGGAACAACGACAATACAAGGCAAGCCATTAGGAGGCAGGAGCAATTGAAAGAAAGTTCCCCGTTGATAATGAAGGTAACAAGAAAAAGAAGCCGTTCCACCGACCAGAAAAGAGAGGGCACGACAACCCCCAAATGAAGAAGGGAGAAGTACGACTAAGCAAAGAGAGCCAGAGAAATGGGTAACTATACCCGGCTCAAAAAACGGAACATCTACCCATCGGATAGGTGTCTACGCAGCAAATGTCGCGAATTGATGAAGGAACACCAGCTGCGGAGGCAAAGAAACAAGAAAAATTTGAACAGCCGCAATGAGATCCGGGCAGAACGAGAGACAGTTGTCCGTTTCGCGAAGACCAGCTGCCATCAAACGGCCGACCACAGGCAGGGCTAAAAAGAAGTCTTCAAGGGTGACCGAACTGGAAGGAAAAGAAGCTCATGGAGGAAGGAACTGAAGGCGACCCGCCAAACGGAGATCAACCAGACTGTATCTTCGTCACTTTACAACCTGGGCAGAAAAAAAGGATGTCTGAATATCACAAGATAAGTAAAACTTTTGTGTACTTTGAACCTTAAGTTAATCTTTCATCTTACTGCAAGTGCAGATTCAAGAAGTTTTACCTCATGTGAGCTACTTTGTCCCCAAAAAGGCGAGAAATGAACTGTTACCTATTTTGATATTGTTTTTCAATTATAGCGCGTAAAACTAAATATGTATATAGGAATGTGTAAATACTTAATATTGTAAAAGCATAGATACTTTGAAAGTACCTAAGAAAATTGTAAAAATTTATAAATTTTATTTAATAGATTCTGCAAGAAGAAGTTTTGTCTGAGACTTTTGGAATGTATATTTCAATGTAGAAGAATTGGCACTTCTTGAAAAGAATAGAAGTTAACATATACTACTAATGTATGTTTAAAATGCGTAAAATTAACGGCATGTAATATGTTCTTATATACATTGAACTGTTATTTAATGTTAAGAAATACTATGATATGGTAAAAGTGAAAGTAATGCAAAAAAATTTTAAAACTTATTCGTGTGACTGAAAAAAGACACAAATTGGTGAATATGTGTTAAAGGTTGAATGAATGTAGTTAGCTCTCTGACGCTACACTCAGAGTTAGCCACTTTTCAAATATTACCTCAGGGTTTAGAGATGATATAGGGTGTTCTGAGGTCTGTTCTGTTGAATTTTAACACGTTAGTGTTTTGATTGCAGGCGGTAGTGTGAACACTTGTACATGACACGCTCGTGTTTGGTGTTTTCCTTTACAACATATGTCAGAGAGCACGGGAGAGATAATTAAATAACGTCATGAATGAAATAAGAATGTTAAAAGAGAAATATATATTCAGGTTAATTGCCATTAATTGTGTAACATTTCATTAACAGTTTTCCTCCAGATCTCTGGAGGAACCAATTTCAACTAAAAACTCCTTTTATAGATGCAGTACAGATGAAAAATCTTGTCCATGGAGTTGATATGTAAAAACGACTTTTTTTTAAAAATTTCTAGTTTCTAGTGAGAATGTTTGTAAAAATTGGCCTCGCGTTAGTTCTAGAGCTAAAGTTTTCACAAGGTCGTTTTAGACCTCAGTTTCAAACAATTAATCTGGCGGAAGTATGTAAGGATCCTAAGTTTTACTAACATTATTTTATTTAAATCTTACTATCACTTCTTATTTTCTACTTCCGGCCAGAATTAAAAGCTTTAACTTATTTATGCAAATATTGTCTGTAACACCAAGTACTTAAGTTGGGCTTTTTGCCAAGCAAGAGAGAGGAAGGAGTTATTAGAAGCAGGCCGCTGGCCATAGTAGTTTTACTCGTTTGCTGGTTGCCTCAAGGCCAGAGGTTTAATCCTCTGATAATTTTAAACGTATTGTAGTTTTAGCAGCTCTATGTACTACATACAGCTTTTGTTAATTACGGCAACTTAAAGTAGGCACTTGTGTATTAATCAAGTTAGTTTAGTTAGAGTTTTAGTTAATATTTTATATCTTACGTTCAGCCACAAGTGTTGGTCTCTGTATTCTTTCGGAAATTCTGTAAAGATGAAAAAAAGGGTTTCGTATACCCTTCCTGTGTGATGTCTACTTACAATTTTCGAAATAGCTTGATAAGCCCTTAAGATCAGGACAGTTCAGTTTCCAAAGCAGTAAAGGATCCAGTCCTGATATGTTTTGTAAAAGTTTATGTTTCAGAGAATGGCAACATACTATGATGTTGTTCTTTTTAGAGAGTTAGTGTAACTTTTGTTTTCATCATTTGAGAGTATGAATAAAGGAATTATTTAATTATTGTAGAGTCATAAACAACTAAAGAGATATAGATAGTTATTTTCGAATAATAAATAGTTCTTGAGGTAACAAATTGGTGAGAATTTTTTGACCATTTGGCGTCTGCTGACTGGACTGTTATCTGTAAGTAGAATTCTTTCGTTTATTTATAATGGATGTTTTGAAGTGCAAACGATCTCAATTTAGGAGATTGTTTACAAAAGCTTTAAATGATTTTGAGAAGAATGAAAATGATTTATCTTTAGACGGAAAAATTTCGAAACTTAAATTAGTTGAGGACAAAGCAAAACCTATGATTGAAATAGAACAGACTTATAGAGAAGAATTGATTAAAATTGAAAAAGATGAAACTGTGATAAATAATGAGTTTGATGAGTCAGAATGCTATATTGATAAGTGGAGAATGGTAGAAAGCAAATTAGTTTCGCTTCTAGCTGAAAAGGAAAACGGTTCTGTTGTTAATGAAAGCTTAACTCAAAATGCTACTATTCGTTATCCTAAGCTTAAACTTCCGATTTTTGATGGGAATATTAAAAGCTGGTTAGGATTTTGGGGCCAGTTTAAAAAGATCGATAATGATCCCAATTTAGATGATCATGATAAATTTGCATATTTATTGCAGTCTATGGAAAAAGGGTCATCTGCTGAAGAGTTAATCAAAAGCTTTCCGCCCGGTGGCGAAAGTTATATAGTAAAGCTTTAGAACAACTGCAATCGCGTTTTGGGAAAGAAGACCTTCTTATAGAAGTCTATGTTAGAGATCTACTTTCGTTAGTATTATTAAAAAACTCTCAGCAGAAATTTTCATTACGAAAACTCTATGATAACTTAGAATCGAAAACTTAGAGCGTTAGAAGTTCTGGGTGTTGCTAGAGATAAATATGCGGCGATGTTATATCCTCTAGTCGAATCGTCATTGCCGGATGATACATTAAGAGCATGGCAAAGATTCCGAGTTATTAATCGCAGTCAGAGAGAATCTGAAAGTAGTGAGCAAAAAGAGAAAAATGCGTCAACACATCGCATGGATTTAGATGGTTTGCTTTCATTTTTGCTCGATGAAATTGAAGGTGAAGAGAGAGTATCTATAGCTACTCAGTGCTTTACTAAATATCAGACACCTAAGCCTGGGAATGCTAAACACTTTGGTTTCAAAAACCGTGGAGAATTTTCCAAAACACCTTCTGCTTCTACTCTAATAGCAACATCTGAACAAAATTCAACTGGATGTATTTTTTGTGCTGGAAATCATGCATCTGGTGATTGCTTTAAAGCAAGAAAGATGACGTCTGAGGAAAGGCAAAAAGCAGTTCTAAATAGTCGCAGTTGCTTTTTATGTTTAGACAGAAAACATGTAATAGCTAAATGTAAAAAACGAACATCGTGTGTGATTTGTGGGAAGAAACACCACATACTTTTATGTAGAAATATCCAAGCTGAATCAAAATCTCCAGTTCCTGTTAGCATGAATAAGGATGAAAATACGGATGCAGTACCTGAACGAGATGAAACCCTCGCCAATTTGGCGAGAACAACAAATGTGTTTTTGCAAACTTTAACGGTTACATTGAAAGGGCGAGATAGAAAGCGCCAGGCCCGTGCTATTATCGATTCAGCTTCACAAAGATCTTATATTTTAAAAAGCACTGCAGATGAAATGAAATTTGAGAGTACATCTAAAGAAAGATTGAGCCATTCATTATTTGGCGGGTCATGTACTGATGTCATAAACCACGATGTTTTTACAGTGTTCTTGTCTAAAACGGATGGAACTTATCATTGTAACTTCAAAGCTCTTAGCCAAGATATTATTTGTGGAAGTATACCACCAGTTGCTAATGGCGAGTGGATTCGAGAGCTTAAAGAGAACAATATTTCCGTATGCGACGATAGTAATGGACCAATAGAAATACTTATTGGCGCTGACATTGCAGGCAAGTTGATGACCGGAGGATTTAAATTGCTTACTTCAGGCCTTGCTGCTATAGAAACAAAACTTGGTTGGACTCTTTTTGGGAAAAATGGTATGCGTGAGATCTCGGACAATTCCGCACTGCTCGTCACATCCATGTTGAATAAGGAAATATTGATATCCGATCTATGGTCTCTAGATTCACTTGGAATTCTAGATCCCTCAGAGAAGAAAAGTAAACTGGAACTTCAAGAAGAAGGCAAGAGATCATTTCTTGTCTACTGTAAAGGTGAACGAAGAGGGACGTTTTCAAGTCAGCTTGCCATGGCTTGATAACCATCTACCGTTAAAAGATAACTATGACTTAGCTGTAAAGAGATTAGCTTCTACAGTAAAACGACTAAAAGCTGAGAAACTTTATGATGCTTATGGAGAAGTTTTTAGTGAATGGGAACGAGAAGGCGTCATAGAAGAAGTACCAAAAAGCGAAATTGATGTAACATGCCATTATCTACCACATCGACACGTAGTAAAAGAAAACAGTACTACACGAATCAGGCCAGTGTTTGATGCCTCGGCCAAACAAAAAGGATCACCTAGTCTCAATGATTGTCTAGAAAAAGGTCAGAACCTTATCGAACTGATTCCTTCAATTCTTCATAGATTCCGAATGAACAGAATAGGAGTTTCTGCAGATATACGAAAAGCATTCTTACAAATAAGTCTCAACCCTAAGGATAAAGACTATCTAAGATTCTTATGGTATAGAACTGATGGAAAACTGAAGTATTACAGGCATTGTAGGGTAGTATTTGGAGTTACAAGTAGCCCTTTCTTGCTAGTTTCTGTAATTCACCATCTTCTAGAATCCACTTTGAAACAACTAAATGGAAACCCAAAGTATAAAGTGGATATTATTGAGCAATTGAAGAAGAGCTTTTATGTAGATAATTGTTTAGCGAGTGTGAAAAATGATTTAGAATTGCAACAATTCATACAAGTTGCTTCAGATACTTTAGCTACAAGAAAGCTAGAATTACGTGGTTGGGAATATAGTGACCCAACAGATAATTCCTCTAGTACCACAAATGTATTAGGAATGATTTGGGAACGATGTGGAGATTACCTTTGCCTTAATATTACTAACATCACCTACAATCTACCAGAAATTTTGTCTAAAAGAGAGATTTTAGCTACTACACACAAAAATATTCGACCCTTTAGGAATAGCTTGCCCCGTAACTCTTGTGCCGAAACTTTTACTTCAGCACCTATGGGAAGTTAAGTTATCTTGGGACCAAGAAGTTGATTCAAATTCAAAATCACAATTTTGTAAATGGTTGAATGATTTGCAGTGTCTGGAAAGAATGAGAATACCAAGATGGTTAAACTGTGATCGTGAGATTGAAAATATCTCACTTCATTTCTTCAGTGATGCGAGTAAACTTGCATATTCAGCTGTGGCCTTTGTTCGAGTACAAACAAGAGATTCGGTTCAAGTTCATTTGGTGCAAGCTAAAGCGAGAGTTGCACCCAGCGGAAGGAAAAAGACAACAATAGCTCGATTGGAACTTCTTGGAGCTACAATATGTGCACGTTTAGCATCCAGCATAATACCTGAATTTCAAGCTGATGATATTTATTTTTGGACAGATTCGTCTACTGTGCTAGCTTGGATACAGAGGAAATGAAGTATGGGACGTATTTGTTCACAACAGAATTAAGGAAATAAAGCAACTGACTTCTATTGAATCCTTGGAGGCACGTACCAGGATCACTGAATCCTGCTGATTTGCCCAGTAGAGGATGCTCTGCTTCTTATTTAATTAAATCTAGATGGTGGGAAGGTCCTAAATGGCTATATTTATCACCAGAAAAATGGCCAAAAGAAGATTTTAGTGCTGATGAAGAAGAAATAGCTCTTGAGAAAAAGAAAAGGATTATTTCGTCCTTAATAAATCTTAATGCTAGTGAAATAGTTGCTACTAGATTCTCAAGTTATCGTAAGACAATCAGACTGGTAGCGTGGATGTGTCGTTTTGTTTACAACTGTAAACATCAAAACAAGAAAAAGGATGAACTTACTGTATCTGAGTTAAATGAAGCAGAGAATATCTTGATTCGTTTAATACAAAAAATGAGTCCTTTAATGGAATAGAAGATGAACGGATTTTAAGTCTTAATCCATTCATCATCAGAAAACAGCGATATTTCAAAGAGAAGATACATCTGAGTTCAGAACTCCTATTTTGCCAAGTGATCATCCTCTTATAAGAAGTTTAATAGTGGAAGAACATAGAACTTATTGGAGTTTCTCACGTCCTAAATTCTTTAAGAGAAAGATTTCGGATATTAGTGGGAAGAAGAGTTGTGTCATCCGTTTTGAAAACTTGTATAACCTGTAAGCGTTATTCAAACAAAAATGTTAACCCACCTGCGCCACCACCTCCTAGAGATCGGGTACAAGATGCCTCAGTATTTCAAACAACCAACATAGATTATGCTGGACCTATATTTCTAAGAAAATACAAGAAGGCACGGATTTGCCTATTCACTTGCACAGTGTACCATTGTGTTCATTTGGATCTGGTTACATCCTTAACAACAGATATATTTCTACAAGCGTTTCATCGTTTTGCTGCTAGACATGGGAAGCCATCCATAATTTATACTGATAATGGAACAAATTTTGTTGGAGCATGCAATGCACTTGCTTCAATCCATTTCAATGAAATTGCAAAAAAAGGAGCTAATGAAAGTATTATTTGGAAGTTCATTCCTCCAGGCGCTCCATGGTGAGGTGGCTGGTGGGAATGCCTCATAGGAATGATGAAAAGAATATTAAGAAAGGTTCTTGGGAGAGCCTGCCTTAGTTATGAGGAAATGTGTACCATTTTGTGTAACTGTGAAGCTATCTTAAATGATAGACCTTTAACAGTTGTATCGGCTGATTCAAGTCTCACTTCCATAAGACCTGGAAATTTTTTACGGGAAATACAAAACCATTCAGTGCCAATTGTAAAACATGACTTCAATTCTAACTTTTATAAACGTAGATTGCGTTATATCCAAAATGTTAACCACGTTTTCAAGAAAAGATTTCGCCAGGAATATCTGGGAACTTTGAAAACAACAAGCAAAAAATTCGCTAGAAGTTGTAAATTAAAAGAAGGAGACATTGTCTTAATTGGAAGCGATGACAAAAGGAGATTAAATTGGCCTCTTGGTAAAATCATATAATTATTTCCAGGTACCGATGGTGAAAGTCGACGAACCAGAATTAAAATGCAAAACAGAGAAGTCATAAGAGCTGTACAAAATCTTTATCCTTTGGAATTATCGACTGCCGAGGAACTTCCATCGAAATTCAGCAGAAGTCAACGATGCGAAAATATTTCGGTAGAGAAAACTTTAATTGATGATGTACCTGTAGAAACAAATAGAATAATCCATACCCATTTAAAATCGCCCACGATAACCAAATCAGGAAGGACAATTAGAGCTCCTCATCGATTGGACTTGTGAGAACAATGTTTAATTTTTTATTATTTTGCAATACTCAATCCTGAATTTCATATTGCAAGGTGGGAGGATGAACAATATTTTGACTCTTAATATTTTTGTTTACATTTTTTCTAACTGTAGCTTCTGAGTAATATTGCACGAGCTTCAAGCAGATATAATCGTTTTCTTTATTCTATGGGGGGTTTTTTTTTTTTTTTTTTTTTTTTTTTTTTTTTGTTCATTATGTTTAGTACAGTTTATGTTTCAGAGAATGGCAATATATTATGTTGTTCTTTTTTTAGAGAGTTAGTGTAACTTTGTTCCCCCCCTTTTAGAGTATGAGTAAAGGAATTATTTAATTATTGTAGAGTCATAAATAACTAAAGAGATATAGATAGTTATTTCCGAGTAATAAATAGTTTCTTGAGGTAACAAATTTAGTGAGAATTTTTGAACAAACCCAATATATGTTAGAAATAAACTTTATTTTATTTTTGTGATGTTGTGTCTGCCAAAGCAATGCTACAATTATAGACTCTATGTTCCTTAATATTCATGTGTAGCTCGTTTTTGTTTTTTGCTGAATGGCAATAGTTTAGTTAGTCAAGTTAATAAACATGTAACATGCATTTGTGATTTGCTTAGTTCTTTCTACTATATTACAAAATATATCTGCGATTATAAGTAATTTCTATCACATTATCAGCACGATATACTCAAAAGAAGTTTATTTGACAGAAATAAAGAATTTTTCGAAAGAAAAAGAAGCAACATCCACAGCGCCAGGAAAGCTAAGCCTAACATGTTGAAAGTGACCCGATGGAAGAAATTAAGATTCAGAAACTCGACAAAGATAATCACAATGCTTGGAAAATCTTAGCACGAGCTGTTTTAATTCAAAAAAATTGTTGGGAAGCAATTGATCCAGGTTATGGTGTTGAATTAAAAAGTGATGTAAAGAAAATTAATGAGGAAGCCTTAATCTTCCTATTCTTAGTGGTTGAAGATCAGTTTTTAGATAACATAGCTGACTGAGAAACAGCAAAAGAAGCATGGGATACTTTAAAAGTACAAAATCCATCCTAAAATTATGTCTCATCGTTGAAGAGAGAAAAAGTTGCTGCACTACACAGAAGTGAAATCAGAAGCTGCTACAAGTGAGGTCATGGGAAAGAAAGCCCTCACTCGAGATAACTACAGAACTAAAGCTAGCAGCCATTACAGAAACAGCATAAAAATACTGACAGAAATACCCACCGCTTTTCTCGTGGGGAGTAGGATCATATTGCAAAAAATTGCTCTGCTGCTAAAACCCCCACATGCAAAAAAGGTTTCTAATGAAGTAAATCAAGCACTGTTTGTTGAAGCCACTGAACATACTTGTTCTCAGGAGCAGAAATTTATGAATTCAGTTTCAGTGAAATCACCAGTTCAGATAGCCAATTCTGAAAAAAATTGAAGTTTCTGGCACGGGAGGCATTATTTTGAATCCTTTCAGAGAATATGGGAAACATGCTATTCACCTAGCAACTGTTCTGTATGATGCTAAGCTTCTATCAATAGAAAGAATAGAAGAAATAGGAATGACTGTTTCCTTTGAAAGGGGCAAAGCAATCATAAAACATCAAAGACAACAAGAGAAGTCATCCTCACTGCACACAGGTATGGAAGATTATACAAAACTGAAGAGAAGCAAATGCACAAAATATACCTTTCCAGACACGAAGAAATCATGCATCAAAAATTAGGACATTTCCAACATGATGGAGTTAAGAAACTTATGAAAAGGGATGATTCGAATATGACACGTGAAGAAATCCAAGAAAAGGATGTTGTTTGCTAAACATGTGTTCTCGGGAAAATGACGAAGACTCCATTTAAAGAAAAGGCCAAATGTTCAACTAGATTACTTCCATTAATACATACTGACGTAATCAGCGTGGCTGTGGAGTCAGAGTTGGTCAGATTTTGTGGTAAAAGGAGTTGGAGCTGGAGTCGCTAAAACACATCGACTCTGACTCCAGTTTTTGTTGGACAGTTTAAATTTGATATGAAATTAAAGTGAATTTTAAAAAAATTAATGACAAACTAAATTATTACTTTTATTTACGGACTATATACATTAATAAATAGTTATTTTCTATTTTATTGACATATTAATAAATAAATATAAGGGAGGAGGACTAATGTGATAATTGACATTAGTGATTAAACTGATTCATTTAGTTACAAATATCACTGGTAAATTTAGGTAAACAGCAATAGCAGCAAGAACTCCCAAAATTGATGCCATTCTTAGGAAGCGCAGGATAGAGTGCAATTATTGATCAAGCAATGTGATGAGGAAGTACATATTTGATGATATAGAGGTTGTTAGAATTAGGAACTTTTTTAGAAGATGAAAATATCCCTAATGTTTCAGTAACAGGAAGACAGTAGAATGATCTTTCAGAATTGGAAACTCTTCTTTCTGCATCGTATAAAGCCACAAAAATGCTACAATCTGAAGAATTAACAGGAGGCAAGAATGGAAGAATGTGAGGTTTGTTCTTTCTGAAATGGAGGGTTTATTTCAAAAGGAATGAAGAAAAGAGAAACTGTTTTGCTAGACAATGAGATCTTGCTGGGTTCAATATATAGAGATCCAAAACACCAAATTTTGTTGGATAACGAACAAAGCCATCTATAAACTTTCAATATGAATGAAATTATTTTCAGAGCAATTGGAGGATTCAAATCTCTACAGTCAAACTGCAGGCATTGCAACTTAGTCTCTATTATCCTCTTTCAGTGATAAATTAGATTTTGAGAAAATTTTTTGGATAATATTGAAAGCACTTGTAGAGACATTAGGAATTTTTTTCAGGCAGGCAAGATGAAAAATTAGCAATGCCTTAGGCGGGAATCGAACCACGGACTTCTGGAATATGCGCCCAGCGTGCAGACCACCACACCACGATGACATGGCCAACAAGGCAGGAGAAATACCTTATATACTCCCCCTTTTAAAGGGCAACTGGGGTTTTTTCAGGGAACCCAAATCGCCAAATCTTGGGTTTGGAAAATCATCATCCACCACCCTTTTAATTCAGGTGCCACTGTAGAGACATTAGGTATTTTTTGGAAGCAGGCAAGATGGAAAATGAGCAACGCCTCTGCCGGGAATCAAACCGCAGACCTCTGGAAA